GAAAAGACCCGTATTCGTTGAACATTGGTATGATACCAACTCAGCCGCGAACAACACAGAGATGAACATGCACGATGAAAGCGTTTAAAATTAACCTGAGGAAGTCCTTCAAGTCCCTATCCAAGGGTTTGCTAGTTAAAGTGCATGATTTGTCCTAAGATCTTGTTAAGTTTAATGGGGAGAATTTTCCCAGGTTTCTGAGGAACAAAAGAAAACAAAACAAAAAACAAAAACACACCCTGAAAACTCTCAAAATCGCGTTTTTGGGAACCGTAGTGGATAGTTGTAAACTATGCAGCGATAGCCCTCAGACCTACAGTATCTGTCCAAGTAGACATTGTTTTAGTAACCCGGGTACTACACCAGTGTGCAAATATACCTGAGATTGTCGGCTGAGTGAGATTGGCTTTTAGGGGGTAGGTCTGGGGAGAATTCGATCTCGAGAATTCCGTGCATTAGGCAAAATGCAAACCTGTGGAAGATGAACCGTTGGAACAGCTGCAAGAACGGTGGGAATGCACTTTGCTGAAGAAAGACCCCAAGGATTGGCAGTATGTTATCTCTGGATGCACTGGGGAGGAGGGTGCAGGATTGTGCATCGACTGGAAAATTACAAAGTATGTTAAGTGTCTCTCCAATGTGGTCATTGGCTGTGCCGTATCCGGTTTGTAAGTGTGACGTCACTTTATCTGTAAAAACCACGCCCACTGCACGTAGAGTTACGTGTGACCGTGGAATCGGAAGTGAACGTGCAACTATTGAGAGTTCATCGAATAGGATCTTTTATTTAAAGATGTGTGCGCATTGATGACGAAGTTCTTTATGCACCAGATAGCGGATAAATTTCCAGCATCACATGCGCGTGTAGAACAATTTTCATGCTGCTCGCGCACACACATCTGGTAGCGTCACGCACGCAGTTGTAATTTTCCTTTGAAAATTGTTTTCATTGCGTGCGTTCGATTAGCTTCCCTGAATACAGCAGTGTTACACGCAAGGGAAGTTTCGAAATTAGGGTAATCGAACGCTGCAGTGCACTCGCCAAGGCATTCTGGGAAAAAGGTCAATTCCCCGCCACGTTCCTTAATGTACGTCCATGCACGAACAGTCTGTGATGTCATTACACTCGGGCAGCCTCCAGAGACCCGCTCGCCAGCCGGGGTAGTAGTGGCTGACACCAGGGCAGTTTGACTTACGTAAGTAAGTTTGACTTACACGTGTAAGCTAATCGAACGCACACTATGAGAATGAGCCAGTTCCGTATTTCAAAAAGGCAAGGTCTTTCGGGAACAAAGCGCGCGCGAGAGGTGGCACATGGCTGTGCAAATGGCGCCAATCGGGCAGACAATTGTGCGCGCGTGCTGCCGTTCCCGAATGACCTCAAACGCGCTTCAATTTGGGCATGCATTGTTGGAATATCAGACTGGCTTAGTGAATCTACGCTGTGACTGCACTTGTTCGTTGGTGCCATGTGGCGCATTCTAAAGAGTAACGGAGTATTGACCGTGTCAAAGCCCAGTCATCAGTGCTGTGGTCGTTACAAACACGGGGCTATTACTGACGTTTATGAGAGCGAAGACTGAATGGTGTTGTCTTTAGCGGGTTACGGCATTGCCTCAGAGATGCTGAAAAACAATGCATTTTATGGTGGTTGTTTTAATGTAATGTAAACAGACGCGTTAGAGTTGCAGGATGTGCCGGTAGTTGCGTTTTTAAAAATTTGGTATAAGCCAGCTTTTGTTGGGTGTAGGAGCCAATTTTCATTTGAAGTAGGCCTACACAGGAATACCAATTGTGGGGAAATTACTTTTATTTAGAAAATGTGCATCTTCTCAAACGTTGAGTGCATCTGCTATTTGTTGCGAGGTACTAAAGGCTATTATCGTTTCGATGGAACTTACAAATACATTTCAAAGTTAAGAATTGATTAAAGAAAGACATAATTGAATCACGGCTAAAATAGTATTTGATATGGTGTTGTTCGACCGATGCGGCCATCATTCTTATGCCGACACGCCGCGGGGCAGTAAAACCCGCCCATACGTCGACTTTGTGGTCCTCTTACAAAGCAAACAGAGGCTTATCCCCCACTGAATTTCCCCCGCAGGATTCGGTACAATGAAGACCATAAAAATAGATGTGAAGGAGAAATCCATCTTTACATTCCCCCAGAATTGGTTAACAAAAAACTGATCAGGAGGAATCGGCGCGAATTGGACGGCCGGGGATCTCCGGGGGCAGTCTGCGCACCAGGGTGAGCGCGCAGCGTCGGACAGAGAGGAACAGAAATCCTAAGGCGTCGCGACGGTGCGATTTGTTATCCTTGGCAACGTCGAGTTACGCGAGACGTGAGGCACTCGAGGGATTACGCCAAAGGTTGATGTCCGGCATGATGAATTGGCTCCTGTAGACAGATAGCATTTCCCTTCAGTCGTTTTCTCAGTGTGTGCCATCATGTCAGATTTACAGAATTTGCTTCATACTAAATCGTACCCAGGGCTGATATGTTTCTTAATGGTAAATTCCAATGGATAAGAGAGGAAATCTCCCACACGTCCGTATTATTAGTTTATTTACGATGCGTACCGTAGCTAATGCCTTCCCGTGTGATGAGAGAAAGGGCAAGCTCGTTTGCTCTGCTTGTTGGTGGCCAGTGGGTAACGGTAACAGTTCTTTCCTTTCCCATTCGAATTCATCCCAGACATTCTTTCAGTATTTGCCAATGCATGCGTATAAATTGGGGTACCAGCGAGAAGCCATACAAAACTTATTCTCATCACCGAAGTACGGAGGTGTTGATTGGTGATTTGTTGCTACGGTCGACCACTAATCTTCTTATATGGGCAAGTCCAATGGTGTTTCTCCGGGTATTCCCAATGGCCACCCTCAGTGTCGGAAAGCAGCGTTGGTTGGATGTTTTACAGAGTGACTCTCGGTCGAAGGATAGAGGATCCGTACAATAGCCCCCGAGCGGGACCAAGAGCGGGCGCAATAACCTTAGCAGCGGAGGCTCCTTTGGTGGGGACTGCACTTCGCTGGTTCAGGAACAACTAAAAATACGTGCGTTGCGGTTGCGTCGCTCTTTCCAACTGATTGGGTTTCTTCTTGCTCTGGGTGGATCGTCAGAATAATTACCGCCATTGGCGGGAGGGGGGGCATTGAGTATGACCAGGGAGGAAGGACAAAGAAGGAGTTGCAACTGTGGCACATCAAAGTGCTCGATGATCATCGCCGCTCGGTCAGACAAACAATAGTAAACACTCCCAGAATGCCTGCTTGCTGCCTGCAGCTTAGCCGGACAAGTGGGGCCAGTAATATCCTAGCAATATTTGTGGTGTTTTCTTTGCAGTTTACTGCAACTTATCGCAGTGACCAGGAAATAGAAAGAAAAAATATCTAACAGATTTACTTTTACGGTCGTGAATATTTTTTTTTTAGATTTTGATGCACTTTTCCATTATCCATGCATTGTTTGTAATTTTATTTTGTCACTCTAAAACATCAGTTTTTAATAAAAGTCTTTGTCCGAAGATTGGCCAACAACATGATAACCACCATAGGACAGTTAAGTTCACGGAAAACAAAAATGCACTCTTTCATCACAAAGAATGATCATGAGATCTCATGAAAAGTGTGTGACTTCCGTTTTATAAAAATGATTCAAGTAAAACACAAAATCTTATAAACAACTTGGCCATTTATTCCCAAAATAAGTCCAGAAGAAAGCGTTCGATAAGGGCAATAGGCCCTAACGGTACATGAACACTTCGGGTACACAGCTAATAAAAGTAACTGCGCAAGCATTAAATTTGGGGGTGTTGTCAGATCATACCAAGCACCATCGATGGCGTGAATATTGGCAATGACAATATGACAATTGATGGCAATGAATAAAACTTCCTATACTGCAGTACACATGCACAACGCTTCAAAGATGCAGATTACCAGCGACAAATTGCGGCAATTATAATGGGATACAAAGTGGGCTTAATGGTTGTGAAACAGGTGTTGCGTAGAAAGCATTCGTTGCGCTATGGCTATGGACATACTGGGCACGCCAGGACGCGGTAATTGACCAGATGTTATAGCCTGGGCTGTGCAAACTTCTTCTTTGTCTTTCCGCCATGGTATGACCAATTAGGGTAGGGTTACCGTGACAGTCAGCCCATCCGTCTTTAAGAAAAGACTGTTATGTCTTTCCCTGACGCTGGTGCTCACGCACCATGCATGCATTGCGAATTGTGTGTTTTAGTGATTTATTTGCGGCGCGCGAAGGCAAAGGATTATCAACAGATTGCGCCATCTATCAGCAATTTCACACCTGCCTCAATTTGTCAGCAGTCAAACCCAGGGGCCAACTTTTTTTTTGGGGGGGGGTGAATTACCGCGATGCGACCGTTTGGAACGTTGTCGTGATATTGAAGATTCCCGGGGCACTTGTTTCTTGATACATCGGCTGGTGGTGAGGAAAAAAAAACACATGTTCTGCCGGTACCCTGCAAAACCGACTGGTTTGTTGACTTTCCACGTGGCCTCATAAATGCCCGCAGCAGCCGGCCGCGGTGTTGCCAAAGACCATCGATATGTCCGTGCGCGATTTTCGATGTGCCAGCAATAGAGTTTACAATAGCCATCCTGAGTGGAGCATCCTTAGGGGCAGGATGAGATCACGGAGCTTACTGAGTCTTTAATTGTAAACCGACTGCATGGCTTAGTGTGTGTTTTGGGTCACCTTAAAATCAGCCGCATGTATTTTACTGACAACCGTTGCAAAGACATGTTCCTGTTTTAGGAGGATCAGAAGTTGTAATACGGTCATACCTAGATTTTTTCCAAGGCACAAAGCTACTAAAGAAACACAATGTTCTCTTGCGACCGGGTTGTTCACGCCAATGGCCGAGGCGCTAAGGGCCGGAGTGCCGCTTACCAATTAGCTTCTAGCTTGATCTACCGTGACACTGACAAGCAGGTAACATTTCTCGCTGCCATCTTCTCCCTAGCTCTCCTCGTGGTGCGAGCGAGCTGCCAGGCAGCCACCGGGGACATGGTGGCCTACCTGGAGTGCTACAGGTGCACGGCCTACGAGTTCGAGGAGAACTTTTGGTCCAAGCTGTCGCAGTGCCAGAGCGGGCAAGTCGAGGAGACGGTCCAGTGTCCCTACTCGATAACCCGGGAGGAACAGGGAGTTGACAAGACACACGAGTTGCACCCCAGCTGTACGGTAAGTTCCCCACAGCACAATAGACTTTGTGCCCTGAATTTATCACATTCAATATAATCTGTGAAATGGAGTGGTGCTGGACTTTTTTGAGTACCAACCCTCACTTTCAGTACTTTAATTTGGCTTCAAACAAAATTTTGATATAATTTATCACAAGGTTTGAACCGTTCTAAACAAAAACTGGCCTGAATTTGTATGCACTTTTATTTTCTTGAAACAGTTCACCTCATTTTTAATTCAAGATGGCTCCACACGAGTGCGGTCTATTTTACTGATGTGAACTAGCCGTGAGGGTAAAGCTGAAGCCGGGGAAAAATTAACATATTTATTGACCTGCATTTTAAAGATTGTAATTACAGTATGACTTGTTCATGAAAGGAATATTGTTGAATAGAAGTCAGTTAAGGAATCCAAGTCTTCCTGACTGTACAGTGAGCGTCCATGAATTTGGGTATTACAATAAATGTGAAATTACAGTTCCAATCATAGTGATTATTTCATGCCCGTATTCACACAATTTATTGATCTTAAATGAATGCAAGCCCATTTCTTTTCTTATTTTGATGTTCAGTTCGAATGTGATAGCCGCCACACCTCTGAAACTCGACGGGCACTATGTATACGTTGCCCTTGTGAATAATCACGTGCCGGACCCTCACCTGTCATTAAAATTGTTACGAACTCGCTCACCGAGTTGACGACCCTCTGTTTCTGTAAGATGCACCTGTATGTGGAACGTGCCTGTGCAGTATTTGTCTATTTAATGTTAACGATATCCATTTTCATCGATTCATTCAAGCCAAAACTGCCACGACGCATTTTGTTGGGGGCTGCGCCTCATACACACCGTGCAAGTCCGTCGTGTTTATAATTGTATTCTCTTATTATTGTACCCGCAGAAATTCAAGCATAGCCATTAAGAGTAACAAAATCCTTCACACCGTTTAGCCCCCCCCAAAATATTAAAAAGTAAAAAAATACGTGTGGTAACACAGCTCGGTCATGTTTATGAGGTCAATTTATTGACAGCCTGCCAGGCCGCTGTTTGTTCAAGTGTTCAAAACCTTTTTTTTTTTCGAATTGTGACAACAGCGTGCGCCGAAGCAAAAATAAATTTATCACACATTGATGGAAGAGGCCTATACAGGCAGATCATGCGAAACGGTTAACGGTGCCTTTTAAGCAAACATTCAGGCGCTGCCACCCGATTCTGTGATGTTATTGTTGATGAACTCTACGGTTGCTCTGTGTTTAACTATACGAGGACTCATGAGGTTACAAGTTTAAGTTAACCTTTAACCCTTGATGTTTGAAAGAGCTAAACACAACATTTTTTTTCCATTAAAATGTGTTTCAGAAATTAAGTAAGCCATTATGTATTTAAAACATCTGAATAAATGATTAAAAGCTGTTTCATACTTCAGGCAAACGTGAAAATGGAGCAAATTGGACGTCATGAAAAGTTTACAGCAAACTTTCACTCCAGTAGAAAATGCGTTCAAATTTTTGGCAAATTCGCAGAACGAATATTGGAGCTGACGTCACAAATTCACGTTTGTGTTCGCTTTGGTGACAAGTACGAAACGGCCTTGAGATGGGAAATGGAAATATCATTTGCTGATTTAAGATTGCCAAATGATTCCATATTATGCTCATGTACTGACATTTATAAGGAGTGCGCCAACTTCAACGCGTAGTTATATGATACTTTCTGCGGTACTGCACGCCGCCAAATGGTCTAACTTTTTATCTTATTCTTAGCAATGTTGATAATAAAAGTAAATTGACATCAGAAAATTATTCTTAAACTCCTCCGCGGGCCTAGAGTTCAGCCAGGGCTATTCGTCTATAGGGTAAACTGAAACAGGCTGGTTTCTCGTCGGAATTGCTTCAGGCGTCAAATCCCGCTCTGTCGACTGTTGCCCCAACCGCCGACAGTTGAGTAAACGTTGTGAGTCCGGACCATAGAGCTCCATGGTCCGGACCATAATCTTCCTCCAGTGTCAGCGCGTGACATGTGAGACGGGCGCACTCGGTTCGTCCTTCCGCGGCTCCTCTTCTCTTGCTGCGGACCGGGTGGCTCACTTTCATCTCTTAATTCGCGCTGGCAGAAACCCGATCCCCCGGTTTAATACATCAGAATTTGCGCCGATATCGCGGAAGACGTCTCCGTTGAAATCCCGTTTCTTGGTGTGTCATCGGTTTCTTTCTTTTTTTTTAACATCGATCGAGACGCACCGAGCCATCGCTTTTATACGCCTGTGTAGTCTCGGAACCCCCAAAAAGCTCTCGTCTATCAGGCAATTTCCCATATTTGCTGCATCAATATTGGTTTGAGGTTGCTGGCCGGGAGAGTCAAATATAGAAAAAGTAATAGAAGCAATAAATTTGCTGTTGGAGGCAAGTTGTGAGTGATTTGGAGCTTAAGACCGGCGCCTTCAATGTCAGAAAAAAATAAATCTCTCCTGGCTGTCACGGTTCTCAGGAAGAGTCATCCCTAGATGAAATACGCCCCTTTTTCCCCGGGTTTCCTTCCTGTGTTACTGTAACCAAATCTCATCAACCTCTCGTGCGCGCAAGCCGTGATGACAAAGCGTTGTGATGCGCGATTCTCGTATGGACAGCACAGTGGCAAACGGGTAACTTCGTTAAAGGCGACTGTAGTCTTTTCGGTCAACTGGTCTTAGAATTTATGAAAGGGGTGTTCCTCTATCTATTTGTCTTCTTTTCTCATCAGTGGCAAGACAGTATTTTCTGTCCAATGCCGATCGTGCCGAAGACCCACCGGTCATGATTCACATGCCCCTATCCCGAAAAATCCCCTGGAAAAGGTGGTTTCCCCCAGAAAAATCCTTGTTGTTTCGCAAAGTGCTACGGCAAACCTATGACTTCCCGTAATTTGTATTGTTTGTTTGGGAATACGCTCAATACCTATGCGCGTTTGGCAAGGGTCGACAGATTTCGTGTGTTGTGATTGGCCAACGTGTTGCAAACTGTTGGAGGCACACTATTGTGAATTGCCCGTATTGTAATCCCGTGTTTGTTGTTCAGTACAACGTAAAGAAAAGCGCTCAGAATTTAAACTTAAATTTATTTCTACACACTTTTTACCCACCTTTTAAACACGCTTCACCGACAACATGTTAGACATTTGTATTGAAATCCGTTCAAGAAATGTATTCAAATGCTGAGCAGAATTTCACAAAGCTGAACATTAACCACTGAAAAGCGTTAAGCGTTGGAACACATTCCTAAATGCATCTCAATGGACATTTCGTGGATTAAACTTGTTAAAAAAGTTGAAACAAAAGTTTTAAACTCTAAGCACTGTTTTTACAGTAATACAAATCACGTTGCTGGTTGTAAGCATTAATCATTGCAAAGGTATAAAGTGGATAATATATATTTTTCGATAATGTGGATACAATGCATTTACAACACAACACATCACACTTAGGTCATGTAAAACCAGAGTTGGTGTGCTTTGATATATAGTAGGCCTACCTGTAGGTTCCGTGGATCTGCATGCGTTGAAAATGTGCGTGGAATCTGAAACCACATACATATTCATGACATCCCTTTTGGTCGCTGTCAAATTTTCCTGACGCGTAGATCTAGGCGCTCTTTACATGGAAATACCGCCAGAATGACCTTATTTATTACGTACTCGAAGCACGCGGTCGTTTATGTAAATGACCTCTGGTACAATTCGTGCGGCGTCATTAACGATGTCGTTTCATTCTTACGGTTTATGTTATTGATGGCTTACATTTGCTCATCAAAGGATGCGACAGCTGGTAAGAAGGCCAATTCAAGACAAGCAGAATGCTTGCAATGCGACTTAAGGCGTATACACATCCTCCTACATAATCCTATGAAGGTTATTTTGCCGACCAGTGTAAAGGGCTTATCAGATGAATTTTAAGTGGAAACATATTTCTGTAGCACTCTACTCGACGTCCTTTTTTCGTTAATCTCATTGAAAAGTTCTCTCTGGCCTAATTGGGAAACGTTTACTCACAGGCCTACCGTAACATAAAAAGAAACATTAAGTAAGTAAAGAAAAGAAGATTTGAGACAATAAATTGTCGCCAAATGTAGTGCAATTTGGTGCTGACATGACTATATAATTGAAGTTTCCTTCGTAATGACACCACACGTCTGCTGGTGAATATTGGTGTCTACATAGCTTTCGCGCAAAAAAGCCCCAAAACACGAAAATGCCCCTGTAAACGTTAACATGAGTTAAAAGTGACACATGAATGCGCACTTTAAAGGACTACATTAATGGGTTTTTTTTACTGCGTCGGTCCTGTTAAGTCATGATACTTTGGCATTTTACAGCCAACCTTTATTAAATATGAAGTAGATATCTTTGTTTTGCTTTTGGTGGTATGAAGGCGACTTTCCATATTTCCGTTTTTGGGGTGTGTTACCTACACAATGTGTTCATGCGTTTTACTTTCACGGACACAGAAATCGATTCCATTAACATAACACACGTGTGCGTTCCATTCGGCCGTCAAAATCGCCCCGGGAGCGATTTTGACGGATACGCAACGCTTGGCGCAAGTGTTGACGCGCATATGGAAAGGCGCCTTAAAGCTGTTATTTTTGGTCTTGCGTCTTTTTTAAGCAGCGACACTAGTGTTTCGTATGGAACTATAAAGACAAAATATCCATTCGTACGCACGAATCAGTAAGTCGTATACACGGAACTCTACTGATTCGTATGTAAGAATTAATTAGCAGTTCGTTTAGATTCAGTGTGTTATGTTAATGGAAGCAATTTTTGTGTCCGTGAAAGTGAAACGCATGAACGCATGGTGTATGCAACGCACTCAAAAACGTACATACGGAAAAGTGTCCTTAACCTTATTTTGTACGTACTAAATCGTACGTTGCAAAACACGACTTGCAATCGTAAACGACTCCTACACTCAGTACTTGGTACCGTAAGCTGTTAGTAGTGTTGTCGGCTGATGTTGTAAAGTTAAAAGTCGATGGATAGTTCTTTGAATAAGGCCCATATCTTAGTAATTCGTAAGTGCAATTCAGTAATCCATGCATACAAAATACTAATTAGTACATACGAATTAACAGTTTTTTTTCTTATACGTCCTAAATACAATTATTTTGGAGGTTGAGAACACAGAGAACGAAAAAAAAAGAACACATGATTTTTTGTATCCCGGAAATCAACTTGCGTGTGTGGTTTGGTGTTGACAATTCAACAGGTGTTGTTACTCTTATTTACTTTATCTCGCATCGTGGAACTCCTTACCTTGGTTAGCCGTCGAGGTTATGTTAGACCAAACTATTAAATGCTAAGGACTGCAATTCGCTAAGGACTGCAGTTCGAGAACAAAAATTTGCCACAAACAGCCAATATTTATGGCTTGACACTTTCTACCCTTTTCCCTCAAAATACGTTGGGAAGCTGTCTTCCACTATAAGGCCGCTTCGCAGCTCATTTAAATCACCTACTAAACGAATAATCATGAAACGGTTTCCCGAAAAGGGAAGTATTGATTTAAATATTACCAATATCACAAAACAGTTCGCTCGTTGCCCAGGGCCCGAACAGGTCGCTGGGAAGGGCTGATGGCTATGCACTGTGATTGGCTACTTCGTGCACGACCTGTGACCACGAGGTTATCCCATTCTTTATTTTTTTTCCTTTTAGTTTGCCAATGGCAATGCTTTGGCACGGGCAATATGACCTGGGAACAATCCCAATGTGGTAATTTATCTTTTCCCTAAATGTCACTGATCGTGTATCTTTCAGCGATACATTTCAAATTATTGGTTATCTTGGTCAATGTTGGATGAACGAACGCTGTGAGACTATTTTCAGCAATGAGGAAGAAAGAGAAACAAAATATCAAATTGATAACCACCGCTTGTGTAACGCAATGGGCGGGCTCGTGTGCCTGGCAGAAATTTACCCACAAGCTCTTCGTGTCGTCAGCTAGCTGTGACCCCATGTGACGTATTTTCTTCACTAAAATTTATGCGAGGCCATCAGCCCTTCCCAGCGACCTGTTTGGGTGCCGGGCGCCGAGCGAAACAAAATGGGTAATAAGAAATACAGTGCACCACCAACAGGTCGTCATGGAAAGTCCTGTTTCACATTGCATTGTGGGAAATGGACAACCAATTCTATATGCCTGCTCCTCGCGGGGAACTTGAATTGTTTCAAAATTTGTTTTTCTTGTATTGTTTTTTTATTTTGTAAATGTATTTAGACTTACAGTTTTATTAATTCTTTCTTCTTTCTATCGCGTGGAATGTCCCCACCTATCTTTTTTTTTCTAATGTAAATCGTGGAAAAACGGCCATGCTTTTGTCGACTGTAAACTTCAAAAATGGCCTCTCCGTGGCAACCTCTTGGTGGCGCACTGTATTGGAAATCTCCTGTAGCTGGCGTCACACAGGCAACTTTTTTTTCACTGATGTTGTTTTCTCCGTAAATCTTTTCAGATCGTGGAACAGAAAGCTGCCGGGGTCATTACGAGTTACTCGCGAGGTTGCAAATATTTCGTCAACTGCACAGAAGTGGATATGTGCGGCGAGTCCACGGAAGCGACGGGTGTGTGCATTTCCTGCTGTGACTCGGACCTTTGCAATGGAGCGCCCTTGTCTGTCCTAAGCAGACTACAGGTTCTTGGAACATCGGCCGCCATGTTGGTTGCCTGGATGTTAAGCAGATGAGAGGGCTGTAAACGTGCATCGTTTCAGGCTCCTAAAACAAGACTTAAAATGGAATGCCCGGTGAAGCTGCAAAGAAATGTGTTGCTGGTCACACGAGGATACATGAGATATAAAAAAGGAAAGTCAAACTTACGTGAGTCGAAACAGTGAAGGAAATGTACAGTTTGTGATATTGTGGGGTATCTTCGTTAACTTGTGATCAGAACTGTTGCCAAGAACAAACATCTTCGCTGTTTGAGAAAAAAAAAACAAATTGATGTGCACATACTGTATATGTATATAGACTGCTGGGTGATTGTAAATTTATCGTGGAATGTGTTAAATATATGAACGAATTAATCAAAAGCTATCGGTAGGGTCTGTTTAAGCTGTTTGTACTTGACGGAAGCAAAATTCATTGGCGATGGTCAATGTGCTCTTTAAAATGAACCTAGTTGATTGCTAAAAGCGCTGACATCACAGATGGATAAACGTGTGTGGGAAATAGAGCCCTACCATTTATAGGCCAAAGTGAGCAGGTAATAAACTAGTATTATGTCGATATGTAACTGTGATACAGTGGTCACACAGTTAGCATTGTGCCTTTCAATAGGTTTTTCCCTTCGTACTCCTGAAAATGTTGAAATGTTTTCTTGACTTGAAGTCTACGATGATGCATATTGTTCAAAGAAATGAGACAACACCGTGCCCACCGACTAAAAAGATGGTCTCTTTTCAATCGGAGTAAATTCAGATCGAGGCTTGATGTGCGACCGGGATCTGACGTCTACGACTGCCCTGTATACTTAGTGGCACCGAATTAACGCACGCAGATGGCACTAGCGGAAGCCAGGTGTACAACTGCCGAGCTGTCCACGCCCTGCTCGCTAACGATTCTGCTTATGAAATTTACTGGACTGAGAAAAGTGTGCAAGGAATCGATACCATCTGGCACGTAAACGGTGAGAGAGAAATCCATCTCGTCACCTAATTGTGTACCATGCATCAACACTGGGGAAAAATAGTGCAACTGTGAAACCGTCGTCACACGGCCTCTCGGGACCACAGCTAGACTGTGCTCGTCGATCGATGATGGGCTGGTATATTCTGCGACTAAATGTCAAGTCAAAGCTAGTTGATGCGTTCCAGGGGAAGGAGAGACAACTTACATGGGTCAAAGTATCGATGTCATCAGCCTATCTCGATTAGTATCCCCGTTGAGCAAACAAGGATTTCTTGGAAATGTACGTTCTGGTATCCTGGTCTGTCTCTGAAGACTCTTCTTGTATGTGAAAGCCAGCCTGTATAAATATGCAGGTAAAAACTAGCTTTTTCATAATCTTCCTCCGGAAAGGATTCCGTCTGATTGGATCCGGATGACATTTGAAAGTCGGATGGAGAGGATTATTTCGCACCGGCCAAAATGAGTTGGCGGCCTAACCGCAAGCCCATCTACAGTCACACCTAATCGAACCCTTTTGACTCGATACTCTATAGCTTGTGACACATTAAGATTGTGCAGTGTTGGTGTTAAAACAACGTCGCGTTGCGTTGCGACCAAATTAGTCTTGGGTTGACTTTGCTTTACAAGTGTAGAATTCTCTGAGCTTGGATTTGCTATAAGACACTCTGCACATTGATATTTAATATAAGGTTAAAAGTTTCCTACTCGCACTTAATATTTGGTTAATATCTTCCCTCTTCCCTCCCTAACGTTTTGTTGAAGCTTTCAATAGATTCAGGGGAGGAATAAGTGCGCTAAGGCTCGGCCTCGGTCTTCCAGATAGCCATGGGCTGTGCTGAATGACTGGGCTGCAAGCGTCTCTAGTGCATGCTTTTGGCCGTTCAGCACCTTGGCAGTGGCTAATACCGAGCCTACCCTGACGTGGCTAGCAAAGCTTTTCTGTAGGGCACCTGTCAAAATCAAAATGTTGATCAAAAGTTGTCAATCGAACCAATGTCAACCACGTCGTGTGGCAGCATTGTGCAGTCAGTGCCCGAGACCCCAAGAATTTAGCCCAGGTAGATGTGACCTTTTAAAGGACAAACCCCATTGGCTTGTCCGCGCCTTATTTCTCTTTGTCTAAAATTAGTTGTTTCCGGTGCCATACGACGTGGAAACTCGATTTTTCTCCCCTGTAATGTTTATGCCTTTATCAATAAAATGCCCAGTTTAAGCAGTTCAACTAATCGATGCTAAGATCAATAATACAATCTTGTTAATTTCTACCTGGCCACAATATAATTTGCACAGTCATCTATGACCAACAGTGATAATTTAAACCGACGTAACTTAAAACGATTCATAGGTTGCTTGTTGTGAGGGAACCTTTAGCCATTAAACGAGTAGGGACCTGTGCGGTCTCGTTATACATTAAGCGTTATCTGTCCCACTCAATGAATGATCCGGAAGTTGATCAACAATATCTTTTTGTAGTACAATGCCCCACCCACATATTCTATTTTCTGATTGGCGGAGTACACGCCAAGAGACGCTTCCTTGCATTTGAAAATATTTTTCTATATTGGCACTCCTACAAAAAGACAATCGCAGGCATCCTCGTTCTGTGATGCACTGTATCTGCAGACAGAAGAGAATTACTCTATCCGCACAAAAGAAACTACGACTGGTACCCTGACCTTTGTTTCGGCACATTAAGTTGTCTCAATTTCGACATTTCTACACGCGATTGACAAAAATGAGTGCACGTTTATATCGTTTTGCTCTCTGTGCGGGCAACGAATTTCAAGAATGTGCGGATGATGTTGGTGAAGTTTTATGGAACATATATACTGACCGTTTTGTCTTTTGGTATACGGGAAAAGAGAATGCCCCGTAGGTCATTTAGGGAGGCTAGTTTGACTGTACTACTCGAAGCAGTCATTATGAAATTTTATTAATTGTTAATTTTATTATTATAATATAAATCTGGTGATGTATGACGTGGATGTTAGCAAAATGTGGTCTCTTTTCCCCCTTTTATTTGCCGATTTCCTGCATCCACTGCCGCTGTATATCGACGTTTCTCTTAGCATTTTTCATGAGGCCTGATGTAAGATTGTCCTAAAGTTTATACTGCACCAGGCAGGTACCAGCTGGACAGCTGTTTGTTAGCAGAGTCAGGGGAACCTCCTTCCTCTTCCTTTGGAATGTCGTTTGCTGTTGTACCAGTAAACGTCAGGAGAACCCTCGCAAGTACTCATGTATTGTATCACTGCATAGACAGATAACAGCAATTTAGTCACAAGTCTTGCCAGGAAGGGATCTATTTGCCCTGATGATTTGCGATTAAAGTAGCTATGAGCTGTGAGTTGAACCGAAGAGGAATTTGCAATATTTACACGGGAAGGTTTCCTTGTTTTGGTCCAAAAAAGGAAAAACAAAGTAAAGAAACCTGGACATTTTAAATGACGCCTTGCTGGTGATTCCGTCATAAGTATTGTTGGAGCGCATGGAAACTTGCTGCTTTCGGTATTGACACGCAACGCAACCGTAAGCATACATAGTAGAAGACTCAAACGCGCATCTTACTGGCAAGGACATATGCATAACGTACTTAGTGGGAGGGTGAAATATTGATTGAAACAAATTTAAACGACCAAAATTGTCACAGTCTTTCAATCTAGCATGCACTAGCAATCGTACAAAATTATACAGTGCGTTCTTAATAATTGTAACCGGTTATACGTATGATGTTGTAGATGATTAGAATGCAGTGCACTTGCGGCAGTTGAAAAAATATAAAAAGATGTGGGTGCCATTTCATATCAGTGTATCCTTAAGCTATACCTATCAGCAATGCCTCTTCCATGTCAGTGAGTCCGGAGGTGAACATAGAGAAGAAGCATTCTTGATTGGCAGAATGGGTAAAGAAAATGATAAGAGACGTTTCGAACACACAAACCCTCGAGTACGTCCAATGGGCTGCGCACGGTGTCCGGTATTCGCCCCGAGATGAAGTGCACCCTCCCCGGCGAAAGAAAGACAGAAAGTGCAAAGTTTTCCAACTGGGTTCTTGCACGCATTCAGTGTGCACGCGAAGAGCATCCGGTTCGTAAGTGTGACGAAACTTAAGTTTAAATTACGCACACACCGTACATGCACTGCACACAGTTCCACATATGGAACCAGAAGTTAACGCTCAACTTTGCGATCGTCCAATGGGAGCCTGCGAATCATGGCACGTCTGCCTTTGTGACGAAGTCACTTACGAACCAGATACATTCCAGAATCCGGTTCGCAAGTGACTTCGTTACAAAGGCTGACGCGTCAGCATTTGCAGGCTTTGGACGATCGCAGAAGTTGCGCGTTAACTTCCGGTTTTATGGTTCCATGTAAACGGCGATCAATGCATGTAAACTCTATGTGCAGTGCATGTGCAGTAGGCGTGGTTTAAACTGAAGTGACGACACACTTACGAACCGGATAAGATTGTTGAAATATGGAAGGTTTGCGTAGCACCGTGATCAGAATATCGACAAGAATATAAGATTAAACCAGCGCATAAGTTTATATAAATATCAGAATATTTACAGAGGTGCGCACAAAAATGAAAGGTTTTATGCTCCTGCATGACAGGCCATGCAAAGTGAGTAAATTCTGACATATCACGATGCATGCCCAGACCGCACACAACCCGGTCAGAGGTCACGGAAGGTTACGAATTAACCCACGCTTGATGTACATGTACATGTACTGTACATGCACAACATAGGAAACACATAACGGAAGTCATGAGTAAGGCAAAGAAAAAATCCCAGTTTTCGAATCAAAGTCATTCTAAACTGATTACAAAAATAATACTAGCTTAATTAGCACTCCTCGAAAATGAGGATTAGCCAACGCAGGGCAGAAAATATCTCTGTGACAGAGCAAAAATCAGGTGCAAACACAGGCGGAACTGTCAGTGATGCGCTTGTGCGCTCATGTCTTCCGAAAGAGCTGGAAGAAAGGGCGGAATGTCTAAAGGCTTATTTAATATTCACGAATCTCTACATTTCAAGCAGTGAAATGGTTTACAACGGTATGAAATGTTCTTCGTGAAATTGGTCTTACAATTGCACTCTTAAACATTCCTTATTTGTGTACCGTTTCCAAAAGTTCTGAGAGGGGAGTATTTCAGTGCAATACGCACGCGCAAATTGTTTTGTGGATTCATTGCAGCATCGCGGCATGTTCATCCAATGCGCATGGTTGGCGCGTGCTAGGCTCAGAGGTGTTCATCCATGACACTGCTGAAACGAATTCTGTCCAATTAGGCCTCCAAGAGATGGCATCATGCATCTTGCACACGAAGTGTAGTAGGGAACGCGTCAGGTTTGCCACAGTTGTCTTGCTCAAGCGTGCGAACTTTACTCGAGCGATGTGGATCAGGCTCCAAACTCGTAAAAATGACATACTACATCATTTTCATTGCTATAAGTTGGTCGTGGTTGGTCAGAGGCGATAAGTACCTGACTGAGAAATTTGACATCGAAGTGCCGACGCTGTTCACGTGTTACTTGATAGCTGGAAGGTTCCACACCCGATCAATAATCCGAACGGTTGGGTGCGTTTATGAATTTCGATGGGGACCTTTACAGCATGGTGCTCATAGTATACTGACTGTTTTGTTTTTGTTTTTTTTCAGGGTTGTAGTGGGCTTTCTTTCTGCTCTTCTTTATTCGTCTATTTGTCTTTGAAAATATATGGCGTTCTGTTAAAACAGTTTGCAATGTTGAGGTTCTGCATTATTTCTTTATTTAATATATTAATGGTTGAAATTTTATTCCATATCGTTAATGACATCATAATAATCACCATAATCATCATCATTATTTGGTACCGTAAAATTAGAACTCATTACACAAATTGTCACTATATAATATTGGAAAAAAGGACCGTGATTTGAACACACACATTGATAGGTCATCTGGAAATCCTAATTTTTTAGGTGATATAAATAAACTTGTTTCCGTACCAGTTCTTTAACGAGTCATTCCAATTTGCATTGTGTGAGCTCGTTTCCTTAAAAATGTCCTGAGCTATTGTGTCAGTGCCAAGGCCAATTTCAAAATTAATTCTTTCCGTCGACGCGTGCCAAAAAAAAATGGTATGGCAAACAACCCGTTGGAAACAGTACTGACACTGCCCGCCCCCATTTCAACAATTAGGTTCTGTTATGTAGGTGTCACTACCTTTTTTTTTTCTTTGGTCCTCCGGGCATCCATTAGTACGAAGGGAAGTGATGACTTCGCATGATAGTGAATCTTCGAGTACCCCCGGGCGAAATGGAGAGAAAACTGAAGTTCTCAACCATCGGTCCGCGAGAATGTGTCGAGCGGAAATGAAATTTGATTTTAAAGCCGGACGGTCGTCTTCGGTTACGCTTTAGGGAAGGTAGTTTTCTGCGGAAAGGTTAACCTACATAGCTGGTGCTGGTTCGTTGAAAAGGAAATTGGCCTTTGAACTTAATGAAATGAGCTTACACTTCCGTATACTCAAAGGAATCTTTTTAGTGTGTTTCCTTAAGCACGGTTTATGTTTCCGGCGGCCACGGCAATCACATTTGCCCGAAACGTAGTGCGCCGTGGGATTTGGTAATTTTTTCTCCGTAGTCAAGTTTTGTTAGATCCTGCTAAGTTGTTTCACTGTCTGTTCTACTGCCCATACAAATCAGGTTCGGATTACGTAATAAGCCATTGCAAAGTCTGCACATTTCTAAAGGTGATAGACAGGGCTACTGAAGTCGTCTTCAATTTATTTTTTGAAAGTAGTTTTTTATCATGTTGCATGAAGTTGCCCTGCCTGGCCCGGCTTCTGTACTCCCCTTAGACCGCGCTCGCCGTATCAAACCGTAGTAGAACGCAACGCGCCTTAGTCGCACTGGGCGTGTAAACACATCTGGACGTGCCGTAATTGAACGCCACGAAGCGACTACCGTACACCCTATAGCTTGCCGTGAAAACCATGACAAAACGCAGCACAACGTGACAAAACTTGAAGGATCGTGAGATGCCAGGGAATGCGCATGCTTCCCCTCCCACTACGGACCGTCTGCAAGTTTTGTTACGGGCTATCACGTACTGTCAAGTTGTGTTGCGTTCACCCCGTTTCACTGCGGTCTACTAAGTTTCTCATCCACACGGTGACTGCCGTGGCAAAATATTTGACAGCTTACAAATCTTGCCTGGCATCCACGGCAATCACGGACTGTCACGTTTGCCCAACCCGTCCCCCCGCGTTGTCTCACGTCCATACCGTTTGATTGCGGTGGCCGCCGGGAACATAATAGTGTAAACCTAGCTTTCGCCATCATCAGAGACGTCAAAATCCCTTCTGTTTACTGAGCCTTGAAAAGTATCCATTGTATAGCTAGTCATACGGTATCGA